GTTTTCTGTTTCGGCTTATTGAAGAATAAGACGTTGACGGAAATATATAAACAGCTTTTACCACTGCTTATGGGCCATGGGCCAAGGCAAACCGATTTCTTTTTCTGTAAAGYCCAAATCACTTTACTTAGCCCATTAATATCTTTTTGCTGAACGACACCGTTCCAACAAATATATACAGACAAATTCACAAAAAGCCTTCAAAAATTTCTGTGGCAAGAATTGAAAACTCGAATAGTTATAATGTCTATCTAACTAACAAGTGGTCATTTTGATTTGTGTCTTCACATCGAAAATCATGAATTTGATTACTAGAGGTCCCTTCTTATCATGCCGTGGTCCGGCAAAGCCATGTGCTTGTTGGACTTCAATTTATGAGCTGAAAATTCTCTAAACCAATAAAATGTTATCTTCAAATTATTCTCTTATCTACATATACTCATCACTGAGTCCTTTAAGCTCTCCAAGCTCTCTCACATTTTCTAGTAAAGCATTAAACTTTCAATTCAAGAAACACACACAAGACAATATCCATGGCGATCAGGGTTCCTCGTGTGCTACAATCATCGAAGCAGATCCTTCGTCAAGCGAAACTGTTCTCATCTTCTTCCTCTAGCTCTCTTGATGTTCCAAAAGGCTACTTGGCGGTTTACGTAGGAGAAAGAAAAATGAAGAGATTTGTAGTTCCAGTTTCGTACTTGAACCAACCTTCATTTCAAGATTTATTAAGAAAGGCAGAGGAAGAGTTTGGATTTAATCATCCAATGGGTGGCCTCACAATTCCTTGCAGCGAAGAAATCTTTATCGATCTTGCTTCTCGCTTCAACTGATCAGGACTCACTCAAATAACCTCATTTTCCAATGATTTTGTACATTTTTTTCTCAGTTAGTTTTCTTCAAGAGATGAGATGACTTAGAAACATCTCTCCTTGAAAGTGAAACAGAGACTTGTAACACTCTTTTTCCTCACGTACAGTGAGATGGACTCAAATCTAATCAAATCATTTCATGAAAATTTAAATTTCAGTTTTTAGACAAACTCACCGAGGATACAATTCAGTATTGGAATTATAATTTGAAGTTATTGCATCATGTCCTAAAGAAGAAGAATTATCCGATACCGTGTTGTTGTGTGAGAAAAATGCAGGCTTTGAAAGAGCAATAGCATGTCCATCTAACATCAAAAGAACCGAAGCCATGTTTGGCCTCTTTGCAACTTTCTCTTGGACACAAAGAAGACCAATGTTTATGCATCTCAAGATCATATTCGATGAATAACTCGACATTGTCATCAAAAATTTGTCCACAAGATTCAAAGCTACTCCTTCCTTCCAATTTCTCCATGCCCTCACCAAAAACATTATAATTTAGTGATACAAATTAGCATTCGTTGATCAAAGAGTGTGACGGTTTTTTCATGGTATAGTACTTACAAAGCTAAGGAGGTCTTCCATGTTTTCTTCATTGCTGAAACAACTGTTTCTCTTACCACTGATGATCTCAAGAACCAAAACTCCGAAACTGTAAACATCTGTCTTAAACGAGATTTGTCCGTGTATTACGTACTCTGGAGCCATGTATCCACTGTTTACACCAAATGACTGATCACAATCGCGTTTGATGAGTAAAAGATGAATGTTAGTCTTTGATACTTACAAAGTTCCAACGATCCTATTCGTGTAGCGTAGAGTCGTGTGATCGATATCGAAAAGCCTAGCCATTCAAAAATCTGCGATTTTTGGGGTCATTGCTTCGTCTAACAATATGTTGCTAGCTTTAAGATCACGGTGAATAATCCGCATACGAGAATCTTGATGAAGATAAAGAAGCCCTCGAGCTACACCTCCAATGATTTTGTATCTAATTTTCCACTCCATTTCTTTACCATCTATAGGATCTATATATCAAGTACTCAAACATTTGAGACATCATTAAAAAACATTACAAATGGTTTGCGAGAACATTTTGAAAGGAAGAAATGTATACCGAAGATGAACTTGTCGAGACTAGTGTGTGGGAGGAACTCATAAACGAGAAGCCTTTCAGTTCCTTCTGTTGAGTAACCTAAGAGCTTGACAAGATTACGATGTTGGAGCTTTGCCACTAATAAGAATTCGTTCTTGAATTCTGTTTCACCTTGTTGTGCATTTTTCGACAACCTTTTCACCGCTATTTCTTGTCCATCAGAAAGTACTCCTTAATGAAAAACACATTCCAAAAACATTATGTGATCGCTTAGCTTTAGTAAAATGCATATGATAAAATATTTTCTTCTTCTTTAGTCTTTAAGATTACCTTATAAACCGCTCCAAATCCACCTTCTCCGAGTTTATTTTCGAGTGAAAAATGACTTGTTGCGTTTTGTAACGTAGTGAAATCAAATCTCATGGAATCTGTGCTAATGTCTTCATATGTATGTCAAGAAAAATAAAAACTCTAGGATAAAAAGAAAGAATCCATGCATTGATAAAAGAAGCTGAAAATCACAGCAAAATATGAAAGAAACAGAGGAAAAACAGAGTACATGAATAAAACCCTTTCTTGTTTGAGTTTTATAGCTTTTTACCTTCAAGATTTTGTTCTGCACTTTTTTTCTTCCTCTTCTTCCTTGATCTTAGGAAAACAACTAAGAATATGATAACTAAGACAGCAACAGAAACTGAAACAGCACTAAAGATCAAAGCTTTAGGTACACCTCTGTTTTTATCCCCTGCACACACACACCCAAAAAAAAAACATAACAGAACATTTTGAATTACTAACCTTTTTTCAAAACTTTAAAATCCATAAGAAGTTACGTATACCTTGCGCAACACTTCTCGTCTCATTCTTTGGATTCACTGATGGTGTAACAGGCACTGAGCTTGGATCATCAGTGTTTACAGGATCATAGAATCTCCATGGAGCATAAGCCAATAAACAGCTAGGAGACAACACATAACCACTCATTTTCATATCACAAGTTGCAATACCTTGAGACAAACAATACGAACAATCCTCTTCCGATATATCCGGTATGCATTGAACCATACCGTACAATGTCTGAAACGATGGACCGCTAGTTTCTCCGACAACAAAATTCTTCTTACTCCGACTAATCATTGATGCTCTGTTTTTAAGCCCTTCAAGTAAACCCCTTAATGATTTCTCCCAACTATCTCTATCTCCGGTGAAGTTTCTTGTTCCGGTAAAGCTTGCTTGAGGAAAAATCTCCAATCTTTCGAAAATCGACCAGTTTGAGTACCTAACCATACATTTTTCGCACCAAATAACCGCTTCTTTCTGAACCGGACACAATGTGACAAGTCTTTGTCCAGCCATTGTGATGCATTTGGTGCAATCTTCAGGTTTGACATCGCCTCTACAGTGTAAGATTGAGTTGACTTTTTAATCGGAGTCTTCTCCGACTGAGATGTTGTAAAATCCGTTATGGTTTTGTCGGAGAGATGATAAAGAGGAAATGAGACGGTCGAGGTTAACGGCGTAAGTGGTGTTAACGGTGAAGTTTCCGGTGACGTCTGAGCAGATTTTGTTTAACGGAACCGGTTGTGACTTAACGGTGAGGCATTGGATTTGGATTAAGAGTGAGATTAGAGGAAGAAGAAGAGACAACATTTTGTGGTTATTTCTGTTAATCATTGTCTAGATTATTGTTAGAACGGGATATAACACGTCTTGAGG